GCTTGGGTGGATTTCTGGGGCCACCACTCCAAGGCTACTGAGGCTGCCTACCAGTCCGGAGCTAAGTGGTTTCAGTTTAAGACTGACTACTACTTCGACCACGACGTCACTGTGGTTTTCGGCACAGGGGGCTACGACGGCGACGAGCATCACCAGTACTCTAGTAATGGGACCTACCGGCGCGTGCGCAGGGTGAAGATCCTCATGCAGTGAGTGAGGAGCGGGGCTACTAGGTACGTAGTTAGTCGCCAGGAGCAGCGCGGGGCTAGGATATTATGAGGAGGCGGGGCTAGATGAGGACGCAGTGCAGCAGCCCAGACAGAGCCCATGACAGACCTGGTTAGATGTCGAGAAGAAAAAAGAAGAGCGGAAGATATGGGAAGGAGGGAGAAGAAGGGGGTGTCGGGATGATGGTGGCGGTGATGATGATGATGACGACGAAGACGACGATGATGGCGAGGGGGGCGATGGGACTGTGTGAGGGAGAGAGCGAGTGTGGGCACCCATGGGCGAGGTGGAGGAGGAGGAGGGCCTAGGAGGGCGAGGGCGACTCTAGGGCGAGGAGGGCCTAGCTAGGAGGGCCCATGGGCGAGGTGGAGGAGGGCCTGGAGGAGGGCCTGGAGGAGGGCCTAGGAGGGCAGTACCACCTCTGGCGAGGACGACGCGCGAGGATTTTATTATCAGTTATGAACCTTAATTCCTGGGTGCCAGATGCTGGTGGGCTAGGTGCCAGATAGCGCGGTTAGGCAATCACGTCGACGGAAAACAAGCACCACGCTCGAGGCTTATTCTCCGAGGTCCCAGGTGGGCTCCAGGGTTCTGGCGAGACGTCTTTCTTCAACCTGCGCTTTGGCGCTTACTCTGGAGTTCTGGATTTCGTTTGTGCGGTGTTTCGTCTCTACCCTCCCAATGCATTACCTGGGGCGCGGCCGCACCCAGGGAAAATGAACCCAGACTTGGAGGTTTACTATCCGACACCCTGGGGCGGAGCAGTTAATCCTCGCCCAGGACGTTCGTCGGCTCGGAAGAATGCCAGTATCAACTCTGAAGGTTTACCCCCAGGCTCCTGATGGGGCACAGACGTCTCGCACGGATCGGTCGTGGAGCAACGACGCCCGCGAAAAAGACTCCGTAACCTCGGATGCCATTCTCCAGGGTCCCGCGGTCGGCCGAGGCAACGCCCCCCAAGACCATCTCTCGGCCCGCCACGTCGACGGAAAATAAACACCACGCTCGAGGTTTATTCTCCGAGGTCCCAGGTGGGCTCCAGGGTTCTGGCGAGACGTCTTTCGCAAACCTGCGCTTCGGCGCTTACTCTGGGGTTTGGGGTTTCGTTTCTGCGGAGATGGAGGGTGGGGGAGAAACCGTTGTTGTGTCTGCAAAGGGCGGGCAGCGGCTCTACCCTCCAGGTCGGCGCACCCCTCACACGGCTCGTGGCTGCATGCGGAGCGCTGCCCGTCTCCGAGGGTGCGGGCACAAAGGGCGCGAAGGTTACTGGGCCTCGCGCGGCGCAGCGTCGCGACGTGTTTGGGTGGCACAGGATCTGGGCGTGCTTCCGACAGGCGGCCCAGGCGAAGGACGCAGAGAGGATGCCAGTCTCTGCCCTGGCTCGGGCCAGACGAAATTGGCGGAGGCCGAGTTCACACACAGACAGTTCGCCTTCAGGAGGGCTCTTCGCCGCCACGGCTGGACGCAGCAGACAACACTGGTGCGCTTCGACAGGGAGGGGCCAGGCACCGATTCTGACAGTTCCGCATGGGGCTCTTCGGCCTTCCCGACGCTTGCTCGGCGCTCCCTGCCAGATTTGGCCCAACATCCATTTTACTTTTCGTCGTTCACGAGCCTTCTCCCGGGCCTCTTGGGGCCCTGACGTGTCTCGCTCCTGCAGCCTTCTTGGGGGCCTTTCGGACGGAGTCCATGGGTCAGTCCTACCGACTTCGCCAGCCTTCGTCCGGTGCCCACAACCCACGACGACGACAACCACCACCACGACGACAACGACGCCGTCTACGACGGATACGACGGCGGCCTCGCGGTGGCGATGACAACAACGCCGACGATGACGGCGACGACGGCGGCCCCGCGACGGCCAAGCTGCTGGAGCGCTGCTAGAGCTCGGACACGTAGGCGCGGTCTTGCTGCCGCCGCCCCGGCCGCCGCCGTGCTTATAGGTTTTCCGCAAATCTCCATTGTTCCTCCGAGAACCATTCCAGAGAGATGTCGTGGACGGAGTCCACGGGTCATCCCTAGTCAGCTACAACGCTGGGATCAGCGCGTGCGAGAAGGGCGAGCAATGGCAGCGGGCGCTGGCGATGCTGAGCGAGATGTGGAAAGCGAAGCTGACGCCCGACATCATCAGCTACAGCGCTGCGATCAGCGCTTGCGAGAAGGGCGAGGAATGGCAGCGGGCTTTGGCGCTGCTGCGAGAGATTCGCGAGGCGAAGCTGGAACCCAACGTCATCTATACTACAATACCGGGCATTTGCGCGTGCGAGAAGGGCGAGCGATGGTCACCCGCGGCGGCGCCCCGGGGGCCCCGCCCGTGGGGTGACGCCGTCTCGGCCCGGGACAGCCCCGGGGCGGCCCATGAGAGCCGTCTCGGCCCATGGGAACCCCGACGCGGAGGCCTCGAGAGTCTCCCGGAAACTCCCCAGCGAGCCCGAGAGGGCCCCAGGACGAGCGGCTCGGAGGGCCCCCGCGAGTTTCCACGGAGCTCCCAGGGGACCCCCACTAGGGCCCCGAGGCCGCAAAACTATGGATATTCTCTTAGGTTTTTGACGTTTCCAGTGGTGCTCCCCCCGCCCGTCCCAAGACGCCCACCACGGCACCGCGGGCGTCCGAAATCGGGCCCATGCTGCCCGGAGGGGCCTCCAAGAGAGTCCCCAAAACGGCCCCAAAGGCCCCCGATCGAGTTCCCGGGGCCCCCAAGACGGCCCAAGAACCCCCCCAGACGGCCCCAAGGGACGCCCAAGAGAGTCCAGTTCGGAGCGCTTCCCCCACCTCCAGGCCCCTCCACGGCCAGCAAGGCTCCAAGACGCGCCCGAGAGGCCCCCAGACGAGGCGTTCCCAAGAGGCCCCCGGGCGCTCTCCAGAGGCCCCCAGAAGGCTCCAGAGGCGCCCCCAAGAGCTCTCAAAGAGGCTCCCAGAGGCTCTCCAGAGGCTCTCCAGAGGCTCCCACAGAGCCCCACGAGGACCCCCTCCCGGGTATCAGAGGGCCCCCCCGCCGCTTCCCCGATGCCTCAGCTGGGAACAGCCTGCTACAGCACGCGGCACTCCAGGACCTCTCAGGCATGACCGCCCCTTCCCCCCTCCGCCTCCACCCCAAGAGCGTGGCCCCTTCGCGGGTTCCTCAGGATACGTCGGCCCATCCACCCTTGCGCAGCCTGCGTGCCCTGGGCCTTCCTGCTCCAGAGCATCGCCCCTGATGGGAAAAAACAACACAGCCCACACCTCTTGGGACACGCATCGCCTGGGAGGGGATGCAAAACAACTCTGCTTGGACCACCCGCAGACGTCCCTATCCCCAGGCCCCCTTCCGTGGACCCCTCCCGCACGGAGCGTGTCCCAAGAGGTGTGGGGTACGGTTTTCTCCATGCCAAACGCGCGCTCCCCCTCGCCTTCTTCCTCCCCGCCCCTTGCTCGCGCCCCCCCTGTTCCTGCGGCTGCTGTTGCCGCCCCTGCTGCTGCTGCTGCTGCTGCTGCTGCTGCTGCTGCTGCTGCTGCTGCTGCTGTTGCCGCCCCTGCTGCTGCTGCTGCTGCTGCTGCTGCTGCTGCTGCTGCTGCTGCTGCTGCTGCTGCCGTTGCTCTCCCTCCGCATGCTCCTCCGCTCCTCCTCTCGCCCTCCTCCTCCGTCTCATCCCCTTCCTCCTGTCCAGGCTGTAGCAGGCTGTTCCCAGCGGAGGCATCGGGGAAGCGGCGGGGGTCCCTCCGATACCCGGGAGGGGAACCTCGTGGGGCTCTGTGGGAGCCTCTGGAGAGCCTCTGGGAGCCTCTGGAGAGCTCTTGGGAGCGCCTCTAAAGCCTTCTGGGAGCCTCTGGAGAGCGCCCGGGGCCTCTTGGGAGCGCATCCGGGGCTTTCTGGGGGGCCTCTCGGGGGCGTCTTGGAGCCTTGCTGGCCGTGGAGGGGCCTGGAGGTGGGGGAAGCGCTCCGAACTGGACTCTCTTGGGCGTCCCTTGGGGCCGTCTGTGTGGGGTTCTTGGGCCGTCTTGGGGGCCCCGGGAGCTCGATCGGGGGCCTCTGGGGCCGTCTTGGGGACTCTCTTGGAGGCCCCCCCGGGCAACATGGGCCCGGTCGTCGTCCTCGGCGTCGTCCGCGACGACGACGACGACGCCGACGCCGACGCCGACGCCGACGCCGACGCCGACGACGACGACGACGACGACGACGACGACGACGACGACGACGACGACGACGACGGTGTCCGCTTCGAGCGGATCGGTTTCGATGGAGGCGTTCCGAGCCTGGTCTCTGGCGACGTGTCGCCAGACGCATGCCCTGCAAGGGCGCGGTCTGGAGCACTGCTTGCGGCGGCAGCGACGACGACAAAGACGACGACGACGACGACGACCACGACGACGACGACGACGACGACGACGACGACGACAGCGGCGACGACGCCCTACGACGACGACGACGACGACGAGCACGACGACGACGACGACGACGACGACGAGCCCGACGACGACGACGACGGCGACGACGACGACGAGGACGAGGACGAGGAGGACGAGGACGAGAAGGCCCCCGGGAGGCCCCCGGGAGGTCCGCGTTGCTTCTGTTGTTGCTGGAGCTGCTGCTGCAGCTGCTGCTGCTGCTACTGCCGATGGTGCTGGATCTGCTGCTGCTGCTGCTGCTGCTGCTGCTGCTGATGATGATGCTGCTGTTGCTGCTGCTGCTGCTGCTGCTGCTGCTGCTGCTAGCGCTGCTAGCGCTGCTCCAGACGCCGTCAGGATCATGAAGCAAACAGCGCTCCCTGAAGCAATAAGCAGAAACGAGCGCA